TGTGTGTGTATATGTCTGAATCTTATGTATCTGTGTGTTTGAGTATGTGTGTGTGAGTCTATGTGTGTGTGTGTGTCTGTGTATGTATGTATGTGAATTTGTGTGTGTGTGCGTGAGTTTGTGTGGTCTGTGTGTATATATGTGAGTCTGTGTGTGTGTGTGTGAATCTGTGTGTATGAGTATATGTGTGATTTTGTGTGTGTGAATTTCTCTGAGTGTGTGAGTCTGTGTGCATGTCTCTGTGTGTGTATGTCTGTGAATGTTTGTGTGTGAGTCTGTGTGTGTGTGAGTCTATTTGTCTCTGTGTTTATGAGTATGTGTGTGTGTGAGAGTCTGTGTGTGTGTGTATGTATGAATCTATGTGTGTGAATGTATATGTGAGTCTGTGTGTATGTGTAAATGTGAGTTTATATTTGTGAGTATCTGTGTGTGTGTGTGTGTGTGTGTGTGTGTGTGTGTGTGTGTGTGTAGGGGTTTACATGCAAATGTCCGTGGTGCTGGGGCACTATGTTATGGCACATGCATGGAGGTCAGAGGAGACAGTTGTTCACTCCTTATACAGTATGGGTTCAGGATGAGGCTCAGGTCCTCAGACTTGGCTTACCCACTGACCACTTCACTGCTCCAGAGAAAGAAAGAACCTGCAAGAAAGAAAGGAAGATAACATATACTTTTTAAAAACAAAGACTCACAAAATTTGAAGAATACTAGATTGTGCTTTTACATTCATTTTAGCAATATCTGATGAGGATTGTGAATCCAATTGATTTCAGGATAAAAATGTCCCTAGTTTTCAGTTCCATAGTAGATTAGGAAGAAACTTTTATTATTAAAATTAGAAAATTCAAATTATGAAATAAAATAAAAATGCTAAGGAAATGATTGTCATCAAATTCTGCATATAAAAATGACGACTCTAATCACACAATGGCTTCACCAAGACCACGGTAGTTGTGGTGACTTCATTCCCAATTTTTGAATCTATTTAAGAAATAAAACCTAACAACCCCCTCCTATAAATCACTCATACTTAAAGCTCAAATTACATATATTATTTTAGAGTTATGTGCCATTTTTTGTCTGTACAATATAAATTATTACTGGTTTCAAATCAAATGATTCATGAAATATTTAGTGTGAATCAATGTTTGTACTTGGATCTTTGGAGTTGTTGAAAGAGGTGTCGAGAATTGTCATTTCTTTCCTCCCTGTGTTAGAAAGACTTGTGTGATGAATAGACAAAGGTCAGACTGCTCGATTTGTAACATTAATTTTGTCCCTGGTATTATTCTTTCTTATAATACTTAAATATGTGAGTTAATTGATAAATGATACATTATCTGGGCATACAGAAGGTCTGGACCTAAAAGAAGATGAATGACATTTTTCTCTTACTAGAGAAGTAGTAACAGTTCACTTGTGTCACCTCAGTGTGATCAACTACCCTTGAGGCACCTCTTAAATATTTTTGATGAAATAGGAAAATGCCCAGTGGATTATATTCCCATAAATTAGTTTTAAACTACCTTTCCCACAGTCAAACATATACTAGTCTTAAATCATTAACTCACCATAGCAGCTTATTATTACAGGTAATGAATGTGAAGACCTCCAAGTCAGTCTCCCAGTCAACTAGGCAGGACCCGCCCTGAATTCTGTGGGGTAGGAGGAATGTGATATAAATCTCTGTAATTACCAGATAGAGATCGTAACAGAGCAACAGATTTGGAAACTCACAAAATTGCTGTTTTATAGGGCTGCGTTTCTTTTTCTTTTGCCAAAGTTATAAAACAATAAAAACTATTGAAATTGAAAACTAAGATTGTTTTCCTGTCAGAAAATGATAGATTGTATAATAAATTTAATGAATGATTATGACGCCTTTCTGAAAAATCAGCATGAAAAATCCCCATCTGTAAGTAGTTTAAAGAATTGTTTAAAACAAATGCAGTGAGATTATTCAGTCATTCCCTACCCCAACGAGAATATTAATGTTACTGGTATTTTTTAAGGCAAGGGGTATATGTATTGAATGGTACTGTCTGAACAACAAAAGGCAAGATGCAGTTCTGAGCTGTGTCAGAGCAGAGCTGGCAATGGTCAGCTGGCTGACATTTCCTCACTAAGTTCACAACCTTGATGACACATGGTGGCCTTGACTTTGGCACTTGTCCAGAGACAACCTGGTTCTAATTTAGCTTTAGCCAGAAGATCCAGAAATCGAGCACTCTGAATGCCTATGAAATAGAGAAATGAAGAAGTCACAATGGAGCTAAGCTATTGTGTCCCAATTGTGCATGACCTATGTCTTTGCCATAGTTTAGCCTTACTCTCCAGGAGTGCAGGGATCCACAGACAGAGCTGTGTACTCTTAGAGGAGCATCACAATATGTAGAGCTTAGAATGCAGTGGTCTGGGACAAATGGCCATCACCTCTTCTTTCTGGATTGTATTTCTCATCCTCCTTTCCTTTCCCTTCCTTTCCCTTCCTTTCCTTTCCTTTCCTTTCCTTTCCTTTCCTTTCCTTTCCTTTCCTTTCCTTTCCTTTCCTTTCCTTTCCTTCCCCTTCCCCTTCCCCTTCCCCTTCCCCTTCCCCTTCCCCTTCCCCTTCCCCTTCCCCT